TAAAAAAATTTTTAAAAATTATTTATTTTTTAATTTTCGGCGGACACAACATCTTTGTTTGTATGTGGTGCTGAGGATCGAACCTGGGCTGCACGCATGCCAGGCGAGCGCGCTACCGCTTGAGCCACATCCCAGCCCCTAATATTTCTTTTGTTATAATATTTGCCTTTATGCCAAAAGACAGTGTGGGTTTCAAGTTGTTTATAGTATTCCCTTTTTTTTTGTTGTTGGTGCTGGGGATTGAACCTGGGGCCTTGTGCGTGTGAGGCAAGCACTCTAATAACTGTACTATATCCCCGCCCTTTAAGTATTTTCTCTTAATTTATGTCTCACTCCTTTTAAAATCTACTTCTGGCTGGGCTCAGTGGTGCATGCCTATAATCCCAGCAGKTTAGGTAGCTGAAGCAGGAGGATGACAACTTCAGAGTCAGCCTTAGCAACTCAAGTGAGGCCCTAAGCAACTTCATGAGACCCTGTTTCAAAAAATAAAATGGTTGCGCAGGGCATGGTTGCACATGCCTGTAATCCCAGTGACTCTGGAGGCTGAGACAGGAGGATCCTAAGGCATCAGACAACTTATTGAGACCCTGTCTCTAAAAAATAGGGCTGGGGGGCTGGGGTTGTGGCTCAGTGGTAGAGCACTTGCCTAGTATATGTGAGGCCCTGGGTTTGATCTTTAGCACCACATATAAATAAATAAAATAAAGGTATTGTGTCCATCTAAAACCAAAAAAATACATCTACAACCTAAAATAAATAAAAATTAAAAGGCTGGAAATGTGGCTCAGTGATTTAAGTGCCCTGGGGTTCAGTTGCCAGTACCCCCCCCMAAAAAAATAATAAATTAATTTATTTAAATAAATCTTTCTGAATTTAGGAAGTTGAATTAGGTGATTGACACTTTTTTTTTTTTTTTTTTTTGGTACATGGGATTGAACTCAGGGACACTCATCCACTGAGCCATATCCCCAGCCCTATTTTGTATTTTATTTAGAGATAGGCTCTCACTGAGTTGCTTAGCACTTCACCATTGCTGAGGCTGGCTTTGAACTCTCAATCCTCCTGCCTCAGCCTCCTGAGCCACTAGGATTCAGGTGTGCCCCACTGCATCTGACTTGATTGACCTGTGTTATGATTCTTACATACTTTGACTTTCACTAATAATTTTTGCTAAATACACTAGGCTGCCTCTGTTGCTGCCTATTATCTAAGGTAAAGACCTTTTCAAGGGCTGGGGATGTGGCTCAAGCGGTAGGGCGCTCGCCGGGCATGCGTGCGACCCGGGTTCGATCCTCAGCACCATATACAAACAAAGATGTTGTGTTCGCCGAAAACTGGAAGAAATAAATATTTAAAAAAAAAAAAAAAAAAAAAAAAGACCTTTTCAAAAATAGTCTTAGACATTATATAACAAATGGGTAGGGTTAAATTACAAACAAAACTTTATTTACATTAGTCAACAGACAGGATTTGGCCCAGGGTCTATAATTTCCTAAGTGATCATATAAAGTCTTTCAATACAGTCTTTTTTTTTTAATATTGTTTTAACTGTTAATGGACCTTTACTTATATGTGGTGTTGAGAATCGAACCCAGTGTCTTGCACATTCTAGTCAAGCACTCTATAATTGAGCCACAACACCAGACCTCTCAATACAATCTTATCATGACAGTTGTCCTCTAAAGACTTAAATAGAAAAAGAGAAGTGGAATCAGAAAATCAAATTCAAATAGTACTTACAGTACTTCTATTAATTTATTATTGGAAAGAAAATTATTTAAGTTTTAATTTCTTCATCTATAAAAATAATGGGTTATTTTAGAGTGCCTCATGATCAACTCCAAAATTTTTATTATTATTATTTTTTTCCTATGTAGGTGCCTTTTACCTTGTATTTGAGTATATGGACCATGACTTAATGGGATTGCTAGAATCTGGTTTGGTGCACTTTTCTGAGGACCATATCAAGTCATTCATGAAACAACTAATGGAAGGATTGGATTACTGTCACAAAAAGAATTTCCTGCATCGGGATATTAAGTGTTCTAACATTTTGCTGAACAACAGGTAACATAGTAACCAAATAAGGTCAAGCATTCTCTCCTTCTCAGCTAGCTAATTGGGATTATAAATAGATTTAGTAATGCAATTTTTTTTTTTACATACATTTGATGTTTTCATTAGGAATAACTACTTATGATAGGAGTACTCTGATCAGAAAGCCACCAGATTCATTATTGGTAAGGAATTAACAGAAGTAGGATTATAAAGATTTTTCTTATAAGCATTATAAGAATCAGTCTGATCTTATAGGAATATTCAGAGAGCTCTTTGCTGTAGTTAGAAAGTAATGTGACCCTAAGCAAAGTCAAATATACATTGGATTCTCCTTGAGTGGAGAAAAACATGCCTGCTTCTTGAACTGTTCATAAGCCTTTAGGGGTTACTGTCTTTTTGAGTAAACAGAGGTTTAGTTAGTAATTGGCCTTTCTAGCCATTACTTCTTCTAGGTTTTAATGGTGTAAATAGTCAGGATTTTGGTGATGAACAAGTGTTAATTTTCCAGAAGATTTTATCATCTGCTTTCTTTTCTGATTATGTGCCTACACTGGTAATGATGATATATCAGATATGTTATGCTCACTATCCTTTAGTATATCCCTACCCGCTAAGGGATGAACAAGAAGTCTAGTACCAGTGAAATCAGGGCAGCGTTTGGTTCTTTAGACAGCTGGGTTTTTGCATCCATCTTTGAATTTTATTTTTCTGTTAAATGCCAACAAATATTACCTAGATAAAAATATAACATGAGTATGACATATTTTCTCCTTCTCTCTCTCTCTCTTTTTTTTTTGGTTGTTGTTGTTTGTTTGTGATGCTGAGATAGAACCCAGGGCCTTGTACTTGCTAGACAAGTTCTGTACCACTCAGCCATATCCCTAGCTCTCAGCATTTCCTGTTTTTGTGTAATGTAATAACCAACCATGCATGATTAATGGAGACTCTCTTGTCTCATGGAATAGTTAGTCACTATGTAGCTTAGAGTTTAGTAGGGGAGCTAGATAAATAAATATTCAATTTAAGAGCCATTTATTAAGCCAATTTCCCCCTCCCCTTAAATTGCGGAGTACCTCAAAGATGCATCCTTGAGGAATGAATTGGAATTTATTAGAAATAATAACAATGGTCTATCAAATTTCTAGACAGAAGAAATTGCATACACAAAAGCAGTTAAACATGAAAACAGTATGTTATGTCTGGAAAACTATAAAAAGGTCAGTATTAACTAGAGCAAGAAGACTGAAGCACCTAACAGGAGGAAATGAAGCTGGAAAGTTACTAGGTGCCAATTTAAGGATCATATATACCTTCTATGGAGCTGAAGCTTGTAGTTGACAGGGAACCATTGAAGTGTGTTGGTTCCTTTTTTTTTTTTTTTTTTGTATGAGTAATGCACTATTTTATTATTTTATTATTTTTTTTTTAAGAGAGTAAGAGAGAGCGAGAATTTTTTAGTTTATTTCTTAGTTTTCGGCAGACACAACATCTTTGTTTGTATGTGGTGCTGAGGATCAAACCCGGGCCACATGCATGCCAGGCGGGCGCGCTACAGCTTGAGCCACATTCCCAGCCCAATGCACTATTTTAAATTATAATTAAATACCAGAGGCATACACCCAGTTACTCAGGAGTTTTGAGGCCAGCCTGGACAACAAAGCAAGACTCTCACCTTAAAAAAAAAAAAAAAAAAAAAAATTCTATTTCTGTGGCTCACAATTCCCCTTAAAGATGAAGGTTGGTGACTCTACATCCATAGTAAGTAGTTCATCAAGAATTTTATGATGGGGCTGAGGCTGTGGCTCAGTGGTAGAGTGCTCGCCTAGCATGTGTGAGGTGCTGGGTTTGATTCTCAGCACCACATATAAATAAACAAATAAAAAAAGGGCCATCAACAACTAAAAAATACTAAATAAAAAAAAAAGAATTTTATGATGGATGCTGGGGTTGTGGCTCAGTGGTAGAGTGCTTGCCTATCACACGTGACGCACTGGGTTTGATCCTCAGTACCATATAAAAATTTAAAAATGAAGGTATTATATCCGTTTACAACTAAAAAATGTATTTAGTGGGGCTGGGATTGTGGCTCAGTGGTAAGAGCGCTTGCTTTGCATGTATGAGGCCCTGGGTTCCATCCTCAGCATCACATAAAATTAAAGAAACAAAACAAAGGAATTGTGTCCATCTATAACTAAAAAAAAAAWTTTTTTAAATGTATTTAAAAAAAATAAAGAAGAAAAATATTAATGATGACTGGGTATGGTGACACATGCCTATAATCTCACCAGCTTGGGAGTCTGAAGTAGAAGGATCACAAATTCAAGGTTAGTCTTAGCAATTTAGCCAGGCCCTAAACAACTTAGCAAGACCCTATTTCAAAATAAAAATAAAAGGGCTAGGTATGGCGGAGCACAGTGGCACAAGTTCCTGTCATTCCAGCAACTCAGGAGGTCAAGGCAGGAGGATCGTGAGTTCAAAACCAATCTCAGCAAAAGCAAGGTACTTAGCAACTCCATGAGACCCTGTATCTAAATAAAATAGAAAATAGGGCTGGGGATGTGGCTCAGTGGTTGAGTGCCCCTGAGTTCAATCCCTGGTATTAAAAAAAAAAAAAAAAAAAAAGAAAATTGATGATGACTATCATTTGTAACTCTTTGGATTCTAGCATTAATATATTTTCTTGGGCTGGGGATGTGGCTCAAGCGGTAGCACGCTCGCCTGAACAGGCGTGCAGCCCAGGTTCGATCCTCAGCACCACGTAGAATACAAAGATGTTGTGTCCGCCGATAACTACTTCATGGGGAATTTCTCAGAGCAAGGAGTAATTGCAGTTCTGCTTTGAACCCTTTCCCAATCCCTGACTGCCCATAGTCTAGATACTTAGGAGGTCCTAGGCTAAATTGAACTGCCTCTTTAAGTTGCTAAGCAGGACKTATGATCCCATAGACTAGCTAATCTATCAGATCTTTGTCCTTGCTCACTTAGTTAACTCAAGCCTTCTGTCAACTTTGAGGCTTCTTGGGTGAAATGGTCATGGGGGGGTGGGATAGTGAGAGGTTATCAGCAGGGCAGGAAAGAAAGATCAATTGACAAAAGAGAAGACTATGGCTGGGCTCGTGATCTTCATTTTATTTATTTATTAATTTTTTTAGTTTTAGGTGGACACAATACCTTTATTTTACATTTATGTTGTGCTGAGGATTGAACCCAGTGCTTCGGGCATGCTAGGCCAAGCGCTCTACCACTGAGCCACAACCCCAGCCCCTTCATTTTATTTTTATTATCCAAGTATAAATAAGTTCACATTGATTTACATAGAGGTGAGATAGTCTTTTGTTTTAAAAAGGGCACTAATAATCACTGTGTAGCCATAGATTAGAGGCAGGGGGACTATTAAGAACACCATAAGATGGGCATGGTCGTGCATGCCTGTAATCCCAGCAGCTCAGGGGGCTGAGACAGGAGAATCAAGAGTTCAAAGCCAGCCTTAACCGCAGCAAGGCACTAAGCAACTCAGTGAGACCCTGTCTCTAAATAAAATACAAAATAGGGCTGAGGATTTGGTTCAGTGGTTAAATGCCCCTAAGTTTAATCCAGCCCCCCCCCCMAAAAAAAAACATTAAAAAAATGTTCAGTACTTGAACTAATCAGGCCCTGCATATAGGTATGGACAGAATATGTTTGATAGAGTAGTCTTGGGTGAGTGAGTAAAAGATGGGGAAGGAATAAGAGAAAGTAAGATAACTCAAAGATTTTTGAAAAACCCTCAAAAAAATGACTGGTGGTACTATCAGTCATTATAAATAATATAAAAGAAAGAACAGGATAGGTGAGGATGAAAAGTGAACCTCTTCTGGGATCTGTTGTGTATTCAGGATTGTGATAGCTAATAGGCATATGGTCATGTGGGCGCTTGAAACTATCAACTATAGATTTGGAAGTTAGTGTAGAAAAAAATGTGAAGTGGAACCCAAGAGAAATAAAGAGGAAGGATAAGGGAAAATACCATCAATAGAAGATAGTCAAATTTTAAAAAGGACTGGTCTTAGGTGTCAGATAATATTGACAAATTAAGACCTAAGAAGAGAGTTTGCAAATTAAAAGGCCAGAGGTGAAATTAGTGTAGGATGTGGGGTGAGAGAATGTGTAACACAGTTAATGGGAAGGAAGTAACAGGCATGTCTGAATCTTTTTTATCACTTAAATTTTGAGAATAGCAGGGTATTGAACATTTAAATGCTCATAGTAAAGAAAATCAGTAAAGAAGAAGTTGAAGATTCAGGAAAGAACTAAAATAATTTTAAGAGAGGGCTGGAGATGTGGCTCAAGCAGTAGTGCGCTCACCTGGCATGCGTGCGGCCCGGGTTCGATCCTCAGCACCACATACAAACAAAGATGTTGTGTCTGCCGAAAACTAAAAAATAAATATTAAGAAAAATATTCTCTCTCTCTCTGTCTCTCTAAAAATATAAATAAATAAAAAATAAAATAATTTTAAAAGAGCAGAATTCTAGGGGACCCAGAATTAAGGCTACAAGTAGAGAATGATTGAAGAAAAAGAAGAAAATAAGATTATAATGCAAGAAAATTTGTAAGAGGATGTTAAGGCAGTCACACCTCCCACCTGATGACTTTTTTTTTTTTTTTTGTAGCAGGCATTGAACCCAGGGGAACTTAACCATTGAATCACATCTTCCTGAGCCCTTTTTATTTTGAGACAGGGTCTCACTAAATTGCTTAGGGCCTTGTTAAATTGCTGAGGCTGTATTTGAACTTGGAATCCTCCTTCCTCAGCCTCCCAAGATGCTGGGATTTACAAGTGTACACCACCATGCCTGGCTATAATGACTTTTTTTTCAATGAAGAATTATTTACTGTGAGAGTATAGGTGATGAATTCAGGCACTAAGGAGAATGCCAAAGGTTTGTAATGACAGCCAAGCAAAATAGAAGAGGTTGATGATTGAAATCAAGTAAAAGGACTAAACCAACAGTATTCAAGCCTTACTGAGAGAGGAAAATACACAGTTTGGAGTGGCACCAATAATAATTGTATGCTTTTTATATCTTAAGCTTTTGTTTAGTTCTCTAGATTAGAAAAGGCAAATTGTTGATCTAGAATTAAGTACTTAAGGTTTAAATATATGAAAGGGTCACAGTGAAGATAGTAGTTTGGCTAATTGATCTATGGTCCAGGCTGATTAGGTAAGAAAGAATAATGTGACATAGGGCTGAATTTGGAGGAAATGGAGGCATCTAGTACTTGAAGATCTTGTCAAAGGCAGTTTGAAACCTGGGTCTCACTGGGCATTGTGGTGCATACACATAATCCCAGCAATTTGGGAGGCTGAAACAGGAGGATCACAAATGATGGGGATTTAGCTCAGAGGTAACGCACCCCTGGGTTCAGTTTCCAGTACATCTCCCTCAGAAACAAACAAAACCAAAACCATGGTCACAGAAGGATTTCCTTTGCATCTTGTTACATATCTTTTTCCTGTGATTTATGACATAATAAATAGCATGGCATTTCTTTTCTATTTTATGTCATCAAAGTTCCTTATTTTGTATATCATTCTGTTAGCTAAGTTGGAAGAAAAAGCAATAGTAATTGTGCTCTCAGGATGTTCTATGACATTATTTCATTCAAGAAACATTTAGTATCTCATTTGGGCCAAGCAGTAAATATTCGAGGTGCTGATGAGATTGAGGTTTGGCCTAATTTTCATTACTTATATCTGTTGCCATTTTAACTTTCAGTCTTTCCATATGCCTTGATTTGTGAATCATCTCAGACTTTCAGAGTAAGGGAGTATGGATATCAAGAAATTTGAGGGGCTGGGATTGTGGCTCAACAGTAGAGTGCTCGCCTAGCATGGGTGGGACCTGGGTTCGATCCTCAGCACTACATAAAAATAAAAGGCATTGTGTTGTGTCCATCTATACCTAAAAATAAATTAATTAATTAAAAAAGAAAAAAAGAAATTTGCGAAATCCTCTTTCCTTTTTTTTTGGTATTGGGTATTACACCCAGAGATGCTTTACCACAGTGCTATATCCCCAGTCCTTTTTAATTTTGAAAAAGGGTCTTGCTAAGTTGCTTAGGGCCTCACTATGTTGCTAAAACTGGCTTTGAACTTGGTGATCTCCCTGCCTTAACCTCCTAAATTCCTGGGATTACGGAACCACTATGCCCAGCCTCCCTTTTTGTCTTAATATAACTCTTCCTTCATTTTTTTTTTTCTCAGAATTTGCTTATAAATTTAACTTAGAAATATAATGATGTAATGATGTTTGGGGCAACTGGGTAAAGTGTCCATAATCTTTACTAGGAATGAAAAGCGTTTATTTAATGTAGACTTCCATGCTTTGTGAGGAGTACCTCCTAGCATAACCTTTTTTCTGTATCGAATTTTTCTGTCTCATCTGTCAGGCACCTGAAATAACACCAGCCCCTTAGAAAAGAGTGAGTTGGGGCTGGGAATGTAATTCAGTGGTGCAGTGCTTGCCTAGCATGCATGACATTCTGGGGTCAATCCTCAGCAGTCAAAAAAGAAAAAAAAAAAAAAAAGAAAGAAAGAAAGAAATGCAGATTTATGAGCCATGACTTGCTTAATTGGCTTCTGTGAGAATGGGGCTTAGAAACTTGTAACAAGTTCTTCGGGTGAATGTTTGATATACTAGTCTGTCTTTGACATAGGAGGTAATGGGAATATGTTAGTAGAAGGTGCCTCATGAATTATAAAAATTGTATGCTCAGGTCATAGCTCTAATCCGTTTTAAAAATCTGTTATAGCTACAGTATTGTTGTGATTTACTTTTTTTCTACATTGATTTATTGGTTCTTTTTAGTTATACATGACAGCAGAAACCATTCTGATATAATTATACAAGCATGGAATATATCTTCCAGTTAGAATCCCATKCCTTTTTTGGGGGGGCGGGTACAGGGGATTGAATCCAAGAGTGCCTAACCACTGAGCCACATCCTCAGCTCTTTTTTATATTCAGAGACAGAATCTCACTGAGTTGCTTAGGGCCTCCCTGAGTTTCTGAGACCTCTTAATCTTGCCTCAGTCTCCCGATAGAATCCCATTCTTATGAATGTTCATGATGGTAGGATTCACTGTGTTGTTTTCATATATGTTCATGGTAAAATTATGTCAAATTCATTCCACTTTCTTTATTTTTCTTATTCTCTCTCCTTTTCCTCCTTCTTCCATTGTTAATCTATTGCACTCCTATTCTATTCTCACACACACACCTGTGGTCTTCTAATAGCCACTCCATATTTTATATGTATTTTTTCCAGTTATCTCAAAAATGTGTTTTGGCCAGGTGTGCTGGTGCATGCCTGTAACCCAACTACTCAGGAGGCTGAGGCAGAAGGATCGTGAGTTCGCTGGGGATGTGGCTCATGCGGTAGCGCGCTCGCCTGGCATGCGTGTGGCCCGGGTTCGATCCTCAGCACCACATACCAACAAGGATGTTGTGTCCGCCGAGAACTAAAAAAATAAATATTAAAAATTCTCTCTCTCTCTCTCTCTCTCCTCTCTCACTCTCTCTTTTAAAAAA